AGTAATATAACCAGCTGGACAATTATTAGAATCATCTTTTATATTAAATGTAAAGGATGGAAAGACAAATTTTTTACAGTGTAATAAATTATTTCTGATATTTTTAACAAGATGAACACAATCATAAAATAAGTATATTTTAGTATTTGGACTATCAGGATGATTAATAAAGAAATTTGATTGATTACCAAATTTGGAACGAAGCAAACTAAATGCACTTACATTCGATTTATGATTATCGGTAACAACACCTTGAATTTTAAAACCAGATAGCGAAAGAGAACTAATAGAATCGGATATTTGATCTGAAAGCCATTTACCACTTATGTTAACTTCAGGTATCGCTTTAATAATGAAAGGAATTTATTTTTTTAAACTAACTATCATAAATGCAACAACTCCTTTGTACAAAGTACCTGTATCATCTGCACCCACATAAATACCACTACAATATTGTGCTTGTTTCTGAAGATAAAATTCATCTACAATTAATATTACATCTTCATGTATTGAACCTTTCTCACGAAGTGTTTTAACAGCCTTAATTGCATCAACTCCACCTTGTTTTATTTTATTTAACAAAGAAATTGAAGGTAATGGAAATGATTCTAGTAAAATTTCATATGCTTGTTTAGATGTATATCTTAATAATAAAGCATGTCTAATCATATCAGCAGAATATTATGGTTGACCCTTGGCTTTATAGTATGTTCGACTATTCATTTCATCAAGAAGTATATTTCTATTAGAAGAAGCGGTATTTTTTATGTACACTGCAAGATTTTCTAACATACTCAAACTAGTTAATTTAGAATTACGACCTTTAGATAACCATGGAGGAAGTGGAACATTATTTCCTTTATATTGCAAAGCTACACATAAGCAATAATCAATTTTTATTGATTCAAGAATTGATGGAAAAAATGTTATAGGATCAAATATTAAATTATAATAAACTACACAATTGAGATGTTTTTTAAATTTGAAACCTTCTGGTGAATGTTTAATACTTAGCATGGTCCATTCCGTAACTTTATCATTTTCAGAAAAAGAACTTAGTTCATCTTCTTGAAAAATACGACTTTTAGGTGGTCTTCTCAAAGCAATAAGCGATGGTAATGTGGAAGGACGTTTTAAGCAATCACTGGAGAAAATTTCAGGAATAGGATCTAGATTCCAATTTAACTTGCATTTTTTACCACGGATGATAAACTTTTCATTAAAATGCTTTTCACACAAAACGGAGTTTGGTGAAGGCACCCAATCAGTACGATTAACAAAATGAACCCAATAATTCAGTAACTGTTGATTTTTTAACGGAAAATGAAAAGAAGCAATTTTTTTATCTTCTAAAGAACTGTTGTATCCAGTTTTACAACCATATGCAACACACTTGTTAACCATGATATGATTCAGCTTTTTTAGTATTTATTAACTTTCTAAAATAGTTATTATATATATATATATATATATATATATATATATATATATATATATATATATATATATATATATATATATATATATATATATATATATATATGTATATATATATGTATATATATATATATATATATATATAATATATATATATATATATATATATACATATATATATATATATATATATATATATATATATATATATATATATATATATATATATATATATATATATATATATATATATATATATATATATATATATGTATATATATATATATAATTTGCAAGTTCTACTTATTATGCAAGTTGCTTTTTATTTTGCATAATATGCAAGTTTAAAATTAATAGTTTTATCATTCAACTTGTTGTCTTTTTTTGTGCGAAAATAGGCCTATTAGAATCGGCCTCTAAAATGTAACATATACGGCCGTATAATATAGTAGGCCATGGTAATTTATATGTGTTACTTTGATTTATTCTTAAGAAATACTTCTTATTTAGATTTTTATTAAATTTACTAATAAAGATTTTAGGAATTAGATTATTGGTATATTTATACATATCGCGAGGTTAGAAATCTCCACATTTTTTTGTTTCGAGATAAAACGATTTAAAAAATAAAAACTTTAGGAGACGGCATATAAAAAGATTTTTATTACTTATGTTTTTTTCAAAACTTTTTTGATTTTAACATAGGTTTTAATATTGTAGAAAAACAATATTTTTAGGTACATGACACAATTAATAACTCATTTTTTTCAAAAAGTGGAGATAGAACAAAATAATTCAAACCTCGCGATATATCGAAGGCTTTGGCAAAGTCAAGAAACACCACGTCTACTGGAAGCTTGCGGAAAACGCTGTATGTCAGAAAGTCCATGGCCTCAAGCAGATTCGTGACACAGATTTTTATTTTGACGCAGTCGTAATGGCAATCGGCAATAAGTTTATAAGCTACAAGGTGCTAGATGATCTTTTCTTTGACCATTTTTTCCATTATTTTGCATGGTACAGAGATGATGGAGATAGGTCTGTAATTTTGTGGATCGAGCCTTGAGTCTTTTTTTTGAACTGTGGCGTCACATTTGCCGAAAGCCAGACTTTTGGGACTACACCTTGATCCATTGATTTCTAAAAAATGATGGCGAATGGGGTAGCCGCTGCATTGGCACATCCTTCAAACATAAATGGACGATACGGTCACCTCCAGTTGAATTTACATTAATGAAGATTTCTGCGTAGAAATAAATCTTATAAGGAAGGATTTGAACGAAAAAATGAAAGTGGAAAGACAGTCGTAAAAATTTGCTTACGTATCTTACGATAAATTAATCATTCGGGATTGGAATCAAAAGAAAATTAGCTTATGTTCTTAATATCTTCTATCTTTTTATATTTTTATATCTTTTTATAAACATAAGAGTCCTATTTTATATTTTTACGAATAAGAAGAAATAAGTTTTCTAAAAGAAGAGAGAAATAAAAAAAAATATAAAAAAAAAAAAAATAAATAAATAAAAAAAAACTTAAATATTTAAAAATAATTTAAATATTTTAAATAATATTTATTAAAAATTAGAAATGGATTCGAATATGACTGAAAACGAAAATGACTTTGAAAATAGTTCATTTAATGTTTTTAGATTAAATAATTTAAACACGCTCGATGAGCACGATCCTGATAAAATTATATTTGATAACTATTCATTAATGAATACGGAACTATTCATTAATGAATATGTATTTCCGGACGAAATAAAACAATATTTATTGGATATTGAACCTTTTGAGAACTTATCTCTTCTTCATTTTAACATGAGAAACGCTAAAGCAAATTTTAAAAACTTTAAAATATTCTTAGAGCAAAGCAATTTTATTTTCAATATAATTTGTTTAAGTAAAACTTGGCTAACTGATGATGCATTTAGCGAAAGTTGTCGGTTTGACTTACTTGAATATAACGCAATTCACTTAAAAAGAAAGTCTAAAAAAAGAGG